CCAGTCTGAAGAGGACATTTAGTTCAAACATTTTTTGATAAGGAAAAAAAAATATGTTTGAACTAAATATCCTCTTCAGACTGGTTTGCATATGAGTTTCACAGAATTAAGGTTATCTACAAAGATCCTAGGAGAAAATAATCGATAGAACCCGACTTAAAATTGTTTGAAAGACTGATATATTTGAGATTAAAAATACAGAAACTTTCTTTTTTCAGAGCTCACTAGATTAATAAACACCAAGTTGGCGTTAAAATATGCGTACATGGTGAGTATGTGACTAGGCTTGAGTCGTTTCATATCTTCCACAAGTTAGACCAACTATCCATACAGCATGGAATTTGCTCCTTACATCAAAATATAGTTGAAAAAAAGATCAATTAGTTATTACATTTTCTCATTATTGTGATTCCTATGCTGTTCATTCAATATACCCAGAAAAAATGGTGTGGTCTTCCATGCTGCCTTCTATTCATTAGCTATCCTCAAATATAAGCGATCACCGTGATTATCCACTACTATGCATATTGATCATGATAGTAATAGCTAACTTTGATAACGCTAGATTAACTGTCAACAAAGCTGAATGTCTCACAGAATTAACATTTGATTTGAAGAAGTACAGAAAGCCACAAGAGAGAAGAAGAATTTACACACCTCAACGTTATCTCCATAAAGGTTTAGCCTGTGATTTTCATTGTTGAAGACCTGTGCAGGGTATTTATTTCGAGTATTGCAAGCCATATCATCAGCCAACATCAGAATAATTCTTTCATCAGGTATGCCTAATCGTTTTACGGTTCTAATTCCAACAAACAAATAGAAAAGATATTAGAGTACAGTTAATGAATCTCAGAAATGGGAAACACACAAGGAAAACAAAGATAATCTGTGATGATCATAATGGTGCTTAAATAGCAAGATTCCCACCTGTATAAAGACAAAGTGTTAGCCATGTGTCTGTAGTTAAACCTGAAGAAGAAACCAAATAAGTCAAGAGTCTTGCAGACATAGAGCCTTCTTAATGAAAAAAAGATAACTTTTTTCAGGATCGGTAAAGCAAGTATTTTATTTCCGTATATCAAAAACAGCATAAAGAAAGTTCTGATGAGAAGTACATCCAAGGAGAACTTTATAATGTGGTAAGGAGCTAAGGAAGTCAACAACTGCCTCCGGATCGAAAAGATAACTCGGAGCTTTGTTGAACCAAACTAAGCAAAGGAACACTTAAGCTTAAGATTAAGATTAATAATGTATTTCTTCTAGATTTCAGAAACTCTATCATTCCACTGTCGCATATGACCCACACAGGAATCGTCTTCTAAATGCTCCTGGACGATTTGTATAAAACCCAGTTTATGCCATGATAACAAGAAGTCCAAGGTGTTTTTGGACTTCTAATTCATCAAAAGCAAAAAAATCATCAATTTCCCAATCATTGATGTTTCTCCTAAATAGAATAAACCACCCATGGTGTGACTGAAGTTCGGCTAAGACAGAGTGTTGCTTAAATGCACAGCTAAAAAGGTCATGGAATCTGTTTACAAAGCCACAAGTCTTGCCAAAATCTAACCTTTCTACAATCACCAACTTTTAAGGAGCATTATAACCAAAATAGCTCCAAAAGGGCTCTAATAGCAAATTAACTTGACGCGATCCAATTGAACAGATAAGTAGAGAACATAAACAAACACAATAGAAATTCAGATTTCATGGTAAAATAATTACAAATCAAAATTAATTCAATAAACTGAATCCAAAGTTCCTATTTTTACAAGGGTTCTTCAAGTTCCCTTACTCAGATTTCCCTTCCATCCTAAACCCACCATACATCTATCAATAAATTACTAAAAATGGAGCAAAACCCATGTTTCTTTATGGGAAAAAAACGCAAAAAAAATTACCAGAACCGAGAAGTGCAGACCAAAACAGCCCAATTGTTAGTATGCATCGTAGTGGTCGCAGATGAACTTGACGCAACCCCATAGCTCAAATAAGTAGAGAAAAGAAGAAAACACAATAGAAATTCAGATTTCATAGTGGAATCCATTTTCAATGAGCTCATTCTTCCATCTCAGATTTTTCTAACAAGCTGTTTTGCCTTACTCTGAAATTTCTCTTTCTATTTGATTGGGAAAGAAAAAAGAATTTACATGACATAGTTGAAATTTTTCGTAAATGAATTAATTTTAATTTAAAAAATTAATTTTAGAGTACTTAATTTTAATTTTTAAAAAAATAGTTAATGATTAAGGACTACAAAAGTGCTAAGGAGAAATATTAAATATATTATTTCTCAATAAATTTTTTAGACACTTTCATGTCTTGCGAAAATATCGTATATAATTTTATTAAGTTCAGGTAAATCCCGATAAAGCAAGCTAAATGTTAGTATTTGAATTTAGTGAAATATCGTGTGATGAGATAAATTTTAATGTTAAACTTCAGTGTTGAGTTTAATCAAATTTCATGCGGTGGGATAAATTTCGATGAGGACTATGAGTCTATAAAGTAGTTGTATGTGACACCTCAATTTAAAGATAAAGTTTCACGTTGGCAAAAGTCAACACATGAGATCGTTGGGTATGTAAATAAGCATGTCTTAATAACTAGTTACGTACATGAAAATTACAAGATGAAAATCAATTCAATTAAAGTTTAGGTTCTTTGTATTTGTACTTTACTCCATCGAGCTTTTAAAATTTTCTAGTGTTTTTTTTTCTTTTATTTTGTAGTGTTCTACATTTTTTTAAATACTTTTTCTAAATTCCTTCTGAATTAGTATTCATTCACCACCAAGTTTTTTTTTAAAGAGTGTAAAATTGAGTTACTAACATTATTGTGCATATTCAAAAAATAAATAAATAACATCTTCGATTTTTTAAAATTATTTAATTCATTTTACTTGATTAATCATTTATAAAAAGACAAAGTTATGAATAAATTAAATAATTTTAATTTAGTTTTCATATCTTTTGAATTTAATTTTTTTTTCTAAAAAAAAATACAATGAAATTAAGAAGAAAAAAACTAATTCATATATTTTGTTAAAAAGATATTCATAACATTAAAAAATTTCCATTCGTTTAATCTTAGTTTTATTTTATATAATATTTTTTAAATTCAATTTCAAATATAATAATAATTCATCATTTTCTTAAAAGAGTTTCTCCGAGTTAGTGCATGAGAATAGAGTCATCTAGAAATAAAAATGTGTCTAATAAATTTAAACAAAGTCATTAAGAAAAAGAAATAGCAAAAATAAAAAATAATGAAAAATAAAAATAAATAGGGTATATAATAGCAAACTAATAACCTAATATAAATGAAGTAGCTACTGTTTGATTTAATTGTGCCCCATAGCAAACGTTTGTCAGTCGCCACTCTCTCGTTCTCGCTCGCCACTCTCCCTCTGCTCGCCTCTCTCGCTTTATACAGCAGAAGTGTATAAATTGTGTTTCTGTTTTGTATAAAGCGAAAGAAAATTGTATATACACATGCAAAAACACATATCTTCGAGCTATACACTTAGTTATACAATTTACAAACATTTTACTTCGATTCAATTGTATAAAAATGCAAATTTTATACAAACATTGCAGCCAAAAAGGCCAGGGAATCATACAATTGCAGTGAAATACAAATTCTCTCGCTTAATACAACAGAAGTGTATAAATTGTGTTTATGTTTTTGTATAAAGCGAGAGAAAAACATATATTTTCTTCCTGTACACTTATAATTATACAATATACAAATATTTTACTTCGATTCAATTGTATGCAAAGCAAATTTTATACACATATTACAGCGAAATAGGCCAGCGAATTATACAATTGCGCACTATGCAATTGCAGTGAAATAGGCCAGCGAATTAGGTCAACAAATCATACAATTGTATATGTATAGCGAGGCCAACAAATAATACAATTTAGGCCAGCGAATTATGTAGTTATATATTTGCTATGGAACACAATTATACAAACTTTGCTATAGCATACAAATATGATTTTTTTGTTTGCTATATATGAAAGTTGCCAAAATAAATACTGCTTTAGATTGAATAAAAAAACAATAGGCCTTTTACTAGGTATTCTAAGCCCAAAATGAAGCCAAAATTTGAGCCTTTACTGTGTATTCTAAGCCCAAAATTAAGGATTAATTACGTGAATATACAACTTAAGTTTACATATTCTCCATATTTCCCTTATTTTTTAAAAAAATACTAAAATCCCTATTTTTTAATAAGTCTAATTTAACAGATACATTATTAAATTAGAATCCTAATAAATCCTAACCAATTAAATCTTATCCCTAATTTTACTCTTTATTTTCCCCAAATAAAGAACCCATTTACACCACTCCCAAAATTAATGCGTCAATTTCTCAACGGTTCATCTTCTCAATTTTGAAAATCAAAATTTGTGCTCTCCATCCGTCAGCCTTCATCTAATCTGTCCGCCATTTTTGTCTACTCTGTCCGCCTTTGAAAATCAAATCGCCAATTTCGTCTACTCTGTCCGCCATTTTCGTCCAATATTCTTGAAAGGTATTGTGTTCTTCTTCGATTCTCTCTTTTCATTCTTCTATTTTTCTAATATTTCATGGTT